GATACCTTACTATATTATGTGGTACTGGGGATACCTTACTGTCTTATGTGGTACTGGGGATACTTTACTGTCTTATGTGTTGGGGATACCTTGCTATCTTATGTGGTACTGGGGATACCTTACTGTCTTATGTGGTACTGGGGATACCTTACGTTATGTGGTACTGGGAATACCTTAAGTTATGTGGTACTGGGGATACCTTGCTGTCTTATGTGGTACTGGGGATACCTTACTGTGTTATGTGGTACTGGGGATACCTAACTGTTATGTGGTACTGGGATACCTTACTGTGTTATGTGGTACTAGGGATACCTTGTGTTATGTGGTACTAGGGATACCTTACTGTGTTATGTGGTACTGGAGATACCTTATTGTGTTATGTGGTACTGGAGATACCTTATTGTGTTATGTGGTACTGGAGATACCTTACTGTGTTATGTGGTAATGGGGATAACTCACTGTGTTATGGTACTGGGGATACCTCACTGTGTTGTGGTATTGAGGATACCTTACTGTTAGGTGGTACTGGGGATACCTCACTGTGTTGTGGTATTGAGGATACCTTACTGTTAGGTGGTACTGGGGATACCTCACTGTGTTGTGGTATTGAGGATACCTTACTGTTAGGTGGTACTGGGGATACCTCACTGTGTTGTGGTATTGAGGATACCTTACTGTTAGGTGGTACTGGGGATACCTCACTGTGTTGTGGTATTGAGGATACCTTACTGTTAGGTGGTACTGGGGATACCTCACTGTTAGGTGATGCTGGGGATACCTCACCGTTAGGTGATGCTGGGGATACCTCACTGTGTAATGTGATACTGGGCATACCTTACTCTGTTAGGTGATACTGGGGATACTTCACTCTTATGCGTGGGATATCTCACTGTTGTTATACATGGGATACCTCACTGTTGTTATACATGCGATACCTCACTGTTATGTTATACGTGGGACACCTCATTGTGTTATACGTGGGATACCTCACTGTGTTATACGTGGGATACCTCATTTATACTTTGGATACCTCACAGTTATACGTGGGATACCTCACTATTGCTATACATGGGATACCTCACTGTTATACGTGGGATACCTCGTAGTGTTATCCGTGGGATACCTCACTTATACGTGGGATACCTCACTGTGTTATACGTGTTATACCTCACTGTGTTATACGTGTTATACCTCACTGTGTTATACGTGGGATACCTCACTGTGTTATACGTGTTATACCTCACTGTGGTATACGTGTTATACCTCACTGTGGTATACGTGTTATACCTCACTGTGTTATACGTGGGATACCTCACTGTGGTATACGTGTTATACCTCACTGTGTTATACGTGGGATACCTCACTGTGGTATACGTGTTATACCTCACTGTGTTATACGTGGGATACCTCACTGTGTTATACGTGTTATACCTCACTGTGGTATACGTGGGATACCTCACTGTGTTATACGTGGGATACCTCACTGTGGTATACGTGTTATACCTCACTGTTATACGTGGGATACCTCACTGTGTTATACCTCACTATGGTATACGTGTTATACCTCACTATGGTATACGTGTTATACCTCACTGTGGTATACGTGGGATACCCCTCTCTCTGATTGGGTTATGTGGTACTGGTTTAGTTTTTTCGTAGTTATTTTTTAAGTAATATTAACGTGTGTGTATGTTGTTGGCAGGAAGAGAGAGGGTGGAGGTAGCCACACCAGAGAGTGTGGTGTTGCAGCGGTGTGGGCGTGTACACCTGCTACCCACGCCCACACACTCATCAGCACACCCACACTGCAACTACCTGCCTCCAGAAGCCTTGGTTGGTCACCAGATACCTGAAGCAGAGAGGGTAGGTAGGGTGGGAGAGACGTGTACACACACACAAACACACACACACACACACAAACACACACACACACACACACACACACACACACACACACACACACACACACACACACACACACACATATGCATATGCACACAGGCGGGACCAGGAGCTGTGAATTGACCCCTGAAACCGCATATAGGTGAATACACACACACAAGCGGGGCCAGGAGCTGTGACGCGACTCCTGCAACCACACATGGGTGAGTACACACATACGCTCGCTGGGTGATGTAGGAATAATAAGAACATATAATATATCTGCCAAAATCTCTTAAGTACAGCATCACCTTCCTCAGATGCTGGTGTTCTCTCTGGGACGGACACTGTGGGTAGCTGCCGAGCACGGTACCAGTGGCATTTATGGCACCAGTACAGTCAATGGCATGGTGGAGAGTGCAACCACCCCTCACCACCACCACCACGCCAGCACCAACAACCTGTCTTCCAGCCTCAGGTCAACACTCTCAGCCATGACCCACAACCTTCCTGCTCACGGACTCACTCTTGTGGATATCTTCCAGGTTGGTTATTCTTACTCTTAATACTGTGTGTGTGTGTGTGTGTGTGTGTGTGTGTGTGTGTGTGTGTGTGTGTGTGTGTGTGTGTGTGTGTGTGTGTGTTTGTGTGTGTTTGTGTGTTTGTGTGTGTGTACTCACCTAATTTGAGTACACACACACACACACAAACGTGTGTGTGTGTGTGTGTGTGTGTTTGTGAACTGGGCATGCACACACACACATATATATACATACATATTCATTCATTTGTTCATTTATGAAGGGACTCAGAGCTATCCGGACTTGAGTCCTGGAGGTGGGACATATAGTACCTGCACTCTGAAGGAGGGGTGGGGATGTTATAGTTTAAAGGGTCATTTGAATTTTGATGTCTATGCAGTTCTGGAAAGACAACTATTAAATAGTGATGGTGAATTTCTTTCTTTGGGTTGCCCAACCTTAGGGAGAAATGGCCAATATGATAAAAAAAAAAAGAAATGCTGATGAAGGACACTTTTGCTTCCTCTTTCAGTTGTTAGTAGAGCGTTTAAATAGCCGGGATCGTATCAACTACACCGCCATCGTACGATCTCTCTATGAAGAAGTGCTGGGCCCCCCACTACCACCTCCTCGGCCACCTGATCCAGTCATGGCAAGACAGAGGTCTTACTCTGCTCTGGACACTAGGACATCAACTAGCAGAAGACCTTCGTCATTAAGCTTATCACAGCGTTCAGCAAGCGTGGAGGAACTGAATCAACATCCTCATCACTCACTCGTATGAACTACCTTTGACTGGTTTGCAGTTTACTGATTAATTAACTTTTCAAGACAACTAATATCAGTGGTTGGGTCAGTTTTTCAGAAAATTACTGCTGTTTGTCAAGGTTATTTGGAATTAGCAGTTCTGTTCTTTTACTTAAAATTAAATTTCTTGTATTGTTGATTATTTCAGGGATCTGTTAAACCTGCCTGGATATCCCAAACACAACCTACGGACATTTATCCAACAACATGGGATCAAGATTTTAACCACTTGTCGAGCATGCAAGACATAAATCAGCTCACACCTTCGTTCAGGACATCGACCAGACTAGTAGATGTAAGCCATTGTTTGTCATTTTTGTTAATTTACAAAGCAAAAGGTTTTTGTGTTAATCTTCCCTCTCCAACCTGTTCTTGAATAAGAAATATACACTTTTAACTTTTCCATCCTCTTTCTTTTACTCATTGTAGGTTAAGTTAGGTTTGGTTACTTTTAAGTGGGTTAATAACAACTTAATAATGTGTATATTGTACTGTATGAATGGGGAAAAAGTTAGGAAAAGCATTTCAGAATCCCCAGAGATTCTTCCTCAGTTCTAAATTAGAAAAATCTATTTTTTAAATTCACAAAACCTTCTTACCATTTTCTGTTTTTTTCACAGTGCCTAAAATCTTGACCTGAGCTAAGACCCTTGCATTTTTTCCATGTTTTTTTTTTTTTAAATTTAGAATACCTAGCAATACTGGAAAGCCTTTGCCATCCTTTTTACCATTTCTGGAAGGTGTTCTGATATTCTTTTTCACCAAAGACTTGAGTTTTTGTCATAATTTAAGTTCTTATAGTTAATTACCAGTCAGGAAATTACACACCTGGAGGTGTTTCAAGGGTCAACACCCCTATGGCTCGGTCTGTAGCCAGGCCTCGCGGTGAATCAGGACCTGATCAACCAGGCTGTTACTGCAGGTCACATAATTGAATAATGAAATAGCTGTCATTGGGGTAGCACTCTGAATTGCTCAAAATTTTAAAAAGAACATGATTCTCACCTACAGGATAAGGACATGTGGTACTCTTGATATTTCCCCGCCACTTTATTTCCAGACATCTTGACAATATTGTGTCACAATATGAAAGTTGCAGCACTTACGACACACACTCACATTTCTTCTGACAGTGTAGCTGTTAATATGCTGTCTTCTTTCTGGTTTGAAGTGCATAACACTGACAGGTACATAAACCAAGACACAATTATGAAAATCAGTTCTTTATTGGGATAATGGTTTTTCCTCGTTAAATACAGTAGTCTTTCAAGTAATTACACAGGAACACCCTACACTACCTAGAGTAAAACATTATCCATATAAAGGCTTGTTCTGATTACTTGTGTCTTGGCCCACATACACATTTTAAGACTTGCCTCATGTTGTTAGGTAAGACACATATGCAACAGTTAGACAACTTTATTCCAAAACGTTTCGCCTACACAGTAGGCTTCTTCAGTCGAATACAGAAAATAGTCAGTTCCTGACTATGGAACTGAACTTCTCCAGGCCGAGGGACTGACAACCTCAAATTCTACGACTACAAGGGTGATGGACTGATTACATCGTCTTCACATCTCTACTGTTCCTGCTTATTTTCTGTATTCGACTGAAGAAGCCTACTGTGTAGGCCAAACGTTTCGGAATAAAGTTGTCTAACTGTTGCATATGTGTCTTGCCTAACAACCTGTCGGTATTGTATACCATTTTGATGTTCAACTTGCCTCATGTGTTGTGTAAATTTCCATCTTTTATGAAGTACCCCATTAAAGGCAGCTGAGCTGGCAAAATTTAATTTTAACTTTTATTTTCATCACATGCTCTTGCAAAGTTGTTAGCTTGTGAGAAACTTTGTGACTTATTTGTGCAGTGAAGAAATGGGCCAAGTTAGTATTAACTATAATCTACATAGCGAAAAAAGACCCTAAAATATAAATATGTTATACTGAAAATTTGTAAATAATCAATAATGTGAAATGTGCATTGACACACCCTGGTGGCAGAGTTTAGTAGAGCTTTGGTGTTAACGAGTTGGAACAAGAAGGATGGGTCCATCTGCCTGTTTGTATTGGGAAACAGCATGAAAGGAGAACTCTTAATTAACCTTATGAAGTTTCCAGAAAAATATATTGTTATGAAAGGTTGCACAATAGGACTTAATACTTATGCATCTGCAAAGGATACATTCTGTGAAAAAAGCTTGTGAATAAGAAATTCATAGATATGAAGCCTGTAGCACAGTATTATGCAGTGTAAATTTTGGGTATTGGGTAACCATACCCAGACATTTTTGCTTACCTTGGTCTAAAATTTTTTACCATTTTGGGCATCTAACAGAACTACAAAAATTATTATCTATAAAATATATTTTATAGGTAGTAGGTTGGTAGACAGCAACCGCCCAGGGAGGTACTACCATCCTGCCAAGTGAGTGTAAAACGAAAGCCTGTAATTGTTTAACATGATGGTAGGATTGCTGGTGTCTTTTGTCTGTCTCATAAACATGCAAGATTTCAGGTACGTCTTGCTACTTCTACTTGCACTTAGGTCACACTACACATACATGTACAAGCATATATATACACACACCCCTCTGGGTTTTCTTCTATTTTATTTCTAGTTCTTGTTCATTTCCTCTTATCTCCATGGGGAAGTGGAACAGAATTCTTCCTCCGTAAGCCATGCTTACGGAGGAAGCATGGCTTCGAAGTAGGTCTTTGGACGAAGACCTACTTCGACTAGTGGATGGTACCACTATGACCCCACCTCCTCCTGCTTCGCCTCACCTGACCACAGTATATAAGCCACATCTACGGGCCTATGCTGTACATTCGACAAGATTGATGGACTGAACACATCGACTCCAGGCTGAGGGATTGATTACCTCGAACTACTCCTCTCCTTACACCTTTCTACTTTGTACTGGACTGATGAAGCCACTGTGTGGCAAAACGTTTCCTGAATAAAGATTCCCATATGTTGCATAAGTGTCTCAATCTTCAACTTGTCGGTTTTTCAAACCATTCATTACGACATTGTACAAGATGTGTATCCACTACTTGATTGTTCATGTATCTGTACTGCTATGTGTTTTCACAGATGTCAAGTGAAAATCCTCAGACTAACCTTTTAACATCAAAGATAAACTTTCACTCAATGGATACTATAAGTTCAACAAAAGAAAATATCATACCAAACTCACTTGAATGGAGCAAGTTGCCTTCCATGAGAGGCACCATGAAATCTATCTTAGAGGTGTCATCAACTCAGACCTCGCCAGTCAAGACATCTCCAGAAGGCAACTCGGACAATATTTTTCCTTACAAGGATTCCAGAACAGTCACAGTTACCAGAAGTGCCACAGTAGCTGGCATTATGAAGGTGTGTAATCAAGGCTAATGTACAATGTTTAGCGCTAACTTAACAGATCTTAATAGGTATTCCAGAGAGCGATTGATAGTGACTGTTGCCTGGAGTTTTATGACTCATTTGCCATGAGTTCGAGCCCCACCTGTACCATAGTTTGTTTGCATTTATGTTGTTATGATTCCATGAGTCGTGACTGTGTTTCCTTTGGGTCACCTTGCTTTGGTAGGTGATGCCCCTGTGTTTAAAAAAGAATTTCCTTTGGTATGTATTTTTAAAGTGTCTGAGAGAAAACAGTTGTGGTATCAAGTATGATTGCCTTAACCTAGCAAACCTAGTTGAGCTTTAAGTTCCTTAAGTTTGACGTGGCTGAGCAACTTACAGTAGATGGGAGTGAGTGGAGGCAAGTGAGTTGACACTGTTGGAGAGTATCAAGGTAACATTTATGAAGGGTTTCAAGGAAACCTGTTAGCCAGACTTGAGTCCTTGAGGTAGGAGGCACATTGTCTGTACAGTATTCTGAAGGAGGGGTAAGGTTATTGCTACTCTGGTGATGGGGGTAGACCCTCTGAACTGTGATGTCATCATATGCTTTTGACAAAACAGTGATTAAATGAGTAACTGTGAAAGTGCTTCCTCTTCCTTCTTTGGGTCACCCTACCTCAGTTGGGTGACTCTTCCTTATTTATGCACCATTACACAAATAACCCACGTGGTTCAAGTTGGACCAATACATCGTCATAAAGTTTCTTCCTCCTATGTGTGGGTTATTTGCGTATTGTTCCAGTCACTGTATTGTTCTTTTGTGTTCTTTATACACCATTAGTCATAATTTTAAGATACAAGTTGTAGAATTAGGAAGATTTATATTGATAATTGATAATTAGTAAGCCATGCGTGTTGTAAAAGTCAACTAAAATGCCGGGAACAATGGGCTAGTAATCCCTTTTCCTGTAAAGATTACTAAAAAGAATAAGAAGAAGAAAATTGTCAAAGTGGGAAGTCTGAATGTGCGTGGATGTTGTGCAAATGATAAGAAAGAGATGATTGTGGATGTTATGAATGAGAAGAAGCTGGATGTCCTGGCTTTAAGTGAAACAAAGCTGAAGGGGGTGGGAGAGTTTCAATGGAGAGAAATAAATGGGATTAGGTCAGGGGTTTCTAATAGAGTTAGAGCTAAAGAAGGAGTAACAATAATGTTGAAGGATAAGCTATGGCAGGAAAAGAGGGACTATAAATGTATTAATTCAAGGATTATGTGGAGTAAAATAAAGATTGGATGTGAAAAGTGGGTTATAATAAGCGTGTATGCACCTGGAGAAGAGAGAAGTGTAGAGGAGAGAGAGAGAGATTTTGGGAAATGTTGAGTGAATGCGTGGGGAGTTTTGAATCAAGTGTGAGAGTAATGATGGTTGGGGATTTCAATGCTAAAGTGGGTAAAAATGTTATGGAGGAGTAATAGGTAAATTTGGGGTGCCAGGGGTAAATGTAAATGGGGAGCCTTTAATTGAGCTATGTGTAGAAAGAGATTTGGTAATAAGTAATACATATTTTATGAAAAAGAGGATAAATAAATATACAAGGTATGATGTAGCACGTAATGAAAGTAGTTTATTAGATTATGTATTGGTGGATAAAAGGTTGATGGGTAGGCTCCAGGATGTACATGTTTATAGAGGGGCAACTGATATATCGGAATCATTATTTAGTTGTAGCTACAGTTAGAGTAAGAGGTAGATGGGAAAAGAGGAAGGTGACAACAACAAGTAAGAGGGAGGTGAAAGTGTATAAACTAAGGGAGGAGGAAGTTCGGGTGAGATATAAGCGACTATTGGCAGAAAGGTGGGTTAGTGCAAAGATGAGTAGTGGGGGGGTTGAAGAGGGTTGGAATAGTTTTAAAAATGCAGTATTAGAATGTGGGGCAGAAGTTTGTGGTTATAGAGGGTGGGGCAGGAGGAAAGAGGAGTGATTGGTGGAATGATGAAGTAAAGGGTGTGATAAAAGAGAAAAAAGGTAGCTTATGAGAGGTTTTTACAAAGCAGAAGTGTTATAAGAAGAGCAGAGTATATGGAGAGTAAAAAAAAGGTAAAGAGAGTGGTGAGAGAGTGCAAAAGGAGAGCAGATGATAGAGTGGGAGAGGCACTGTCAAGAAATTTTAATGAAAATAAGAAAAAATTTTGGAGTGAGTTAAACAAGTTAAGAAAGCCTAGGGAAAGTATGGATTTGTCAGTTAAAAACAGAGTAGGGGAGTTAGTAGATGGGGAGATGGAGGTATTAGGTAGATGGCGAGAATATTTTGAGGAACTTTTAAATGTTAAGGAAGAAAGAGAGGCAGCAATTTCATGCACTGGTCAGGGAGGTATACCATCTTTTAGGAGTGAAGAAGAGCAGAATGTAAGTGTGGGGGAGGTACGTGAGGCATTACGTAGAATGAAAGGGGGTAAAGCAGCTGGAACTGATGGGATCATGACAGAAATGTTAAAAGCAGGGGGGTATATAGTGTTGGAGTGATTGGTACTTTTGTTTAATAAATGTATGAAAGAGGGGAAGGTACCTAGGGATTGGCAGAGAGCATGTATAGTCCCTTTATATAAAGGGAAAGGGGACAAAAGAGACTGTAAAAATTATAGAGGAATAAGTTTACTGAGTATACCAGGAAAAGTGTACGGTAGGGTTATACGTAATTGAAAGAATTAGAGGTAAGACAGAATGTAGGATTGTGGATGAGCAAGGAGGTTTCAGAGTGGGTAGGGGATGTGTAGATCAAGTGTTTACATTGAAGCATATATGTGAACAGAATTTAGATAAAGGTAGGGAAGTTTTTATTGCATTTATGGATTTAGAAAAGGCATATGATAGTGGATAGAGGAGCAATGTGGCAGATGTTGCAAGTATATGGAATAGGTGGTAAGTTATTAAATGCTGTAAAGAGTTTTTATGAGGATAGTGAGGCTCAGGTTAGGGTGTGTAGAAGAGAGGGAGACTACTTCCCGGTAAAAGTAGGTCTTAGACAGGGATGTGTAATGTCACAATGGTTGTTTAATATATTTATAGATGGGGTTGTAAAGGAAGTAAATGCTAGGGCGTTTGGGAGAGGGGTGGGATTAAATTTTGGGGAATCAAATTCAAAATGGGAATTGACACAGTTACTTTTTGCTGATGATACTGTGCTTATGGGAGATTCTAAAGAAAAATTGCAAAGGTTAGTGGATGAGTTTGAGAATGTGTGTAAAGGTAGAAAGTTGAAAGTGAACATAGAAAAGAGTAAGGTGATGAGGGTGTCAAATGATTTAGATAAAGAAAAATTGGATATCAAATTGGGGAGGAGGAGTATGGAAGAAGTGAATGTTTTCAGATACTTGGGAGTTGACGTGTCGGCGGATGGATTTATGAAGGATGAGGTTAATCATAGAATTGATGAGGGAAAAAAGGTGAGTGGTGCATTGAGGTATATGTGGAGTCAAAAAACATTATCTATGGAGGCAAAGAAGGGAATGTATGAAAGTATAGTGAAGCTTGGGTGGTAAATGCAGCAGTGAGGAGATGGTTGGAGGCAGTGGAGATGTCCTGTTTAAGGGCAGTGTTTGGTGTAAATATTATGCAGAAAATTCGGAGTGTGGAAATTAGGAAAAGGTGTGGAGTTAATAAAAGTATTAGTCAGAGGGCAGAAGAGGGGTTGTTCAGGTGGTTTGGTCATTTAGAGAGAATGGATCAAAGTAGAATGACATGGAAAGCATATAAATCTATAGGGGAAGGAAGGCGGGGTAGGGGTCGTCCTCGAAAGGGTTGGAGAGAGGGGGTAAAGGAGGTTTTGTGGGCAAGGGGCTTGGACTTCCAGCAAGCGTGCGTGAGCGTGTTAGATAGGAGTGAATGGAGACGAATGGTACTTGGGACCTGATGATCTGTTGGAGTGTGAGCAGGGTATTATTTAGTGAAGGGATTCAGGGAAACCGGTTATTTTCATATAGTCGGACTTGAGTCCTGGAAATGGGAAGTACAATGCCTGCACTTTAAAGGAGGGGTTTGGGATATTGGCAGTTTGGAGGGATATGTTGTGCATCTTTATATGTGTATGCTTCTAAACTTTTGTATTCTGAGCACCTCTGCAAAAACAGTGATAATGTGCGAGTGTGGTGAAAGTGTTGAATGATGATAAAAGTATTTTCTTTTTGGGGATTTTCTTTCTTTTTTGGGTCACCCTGCCTCGGTGGGAGACGGCCGACTTGTTGAAAAAAAAAAATTAGAATTAAAGCACTGTAAGTATTAGTTGACTTGGTATATATAATTTTTTTTTTCTCTCTTGACAAGACTCCAGTCATGGAGGCACAGGATGGAGGAGCACCAGGCACGCAGAAAAAGGTTCCTCCTAAGAAACCTCCACGATCACGAGCAATGTCTGTTGACAATCTTCTGTAAGTCTTATGTAGTCTTTGTGTTCAGTTGACATTATTGACTTTATTCCACACTCTTATTCTTGGAATACTACTTTTATTTGTCTTTATTTATCAGGTGTAGTGCATATCGATGCAAGCTACACTTGTTGAAATATCAGGCTGAATTCATTTTATGATAGAAAAGACAGATATATACACACATGAGTAAGAAATAAATATCTTCCAGCATGATATGTGACTTTCACATTACTTAGTCATTGAGTGATGTGTCTGAACATTGCATCTATAATCATATATTTGACATCAGTATTCTTCTTTGATTATCAAATAGGTACAGTAGGATGGAGATGAATAGGATGATGAAAAAGGTTTATAAATCTTGGGTAAAAGGCAAAAGGGATAGAGATCATCCCAAGAACAGTTGGAGGTAGAGGGTAAAGGAAGTGTTGAGTTGTAGGGTCTTGAACATCCTGCAGTCTTATGTCAGTGTGTTAGATAGAAGTTAGTATGGGGTGTGAGCAAGGTAACATTTATGAAGGATTCAGGGAAACTGGTTAGCTGGACTTGAATCTTGGAAGTGGGAAGGGCAGTGCCTGCACCCTGACGAAGTGGTGGGGATGTTGTAGTTGAAGGGTAAATTGAACTGCGGTATCAGCAAACATCTGGTAGAACAGCAGTTAGTTCACCCTACCTTGGAGACGGCCATTGAGGTATAAAAAAATTGTCATTAGCTTAAAAACCTTGATCTCCTTAGTATATCTTTCAACTGTATTGTCAGTATTCATTCATATGGATGGTGAATGAAGAGAGAGTAAATGATGTTAATGGTAATTATAGGCCAGGGTTTATATAGCTGATGTCCATTGAGTTTAGCATGATTAAGTTGGCAACAAGCACCGCTGTTTTCCACCACAGGGTCGTCAACTATCTCAGCTTCACTTGTTCTTATGCACACAGTCTTATCATGCTCCAGCTGTTGTGCCGGCACAACTTGGTGGAAAAATCTTGTGACAATGACCAGCGTCGAGTGATTTTCCCGAATACGTGAAAGTAATATATGAACATGCTACACCTGCTCCAAAAAATCATGTGCAAAAAAAGTAATGCATTATCAATACAGTGATACCCCAAGTTTCATACATAGTTCATTCCAGAAGGCTGTTCGAGTGCCATTACTGAATGAATTTGTTCCCATAAGGAATAATGTAAATTAGATTAGTCCATTTCAGGCCCCCAAAAATACACTTACAAAAGCACTTACAATAATACACTTACATAATTGCTGGAGTTGGGATCTGTACGAAACTCGGGGTACCACTGTACTAGAAAAATTATAAAATAGTGACATTATGAATGCAGCTTATGTGAAGAAATTAACTATTTTTTTATTTATCATTCAGATTTACATTTTATAAGAAGATTGAACTGGAATATGTAGCATCAAGGCTCAGAAGCTTATTTTTATTGTTCTAGAAGACTGGCTAATTCACTAGAACATTGATTACTTTGTGGACTGCTTGTGGACCATGTAGTGATTGATCCCAGTATTAAGGTAGCAGTTCTCTGGTGATCACAGGATTATATATTATATTGCTGGATTGAGCTACACTGCTGAATTATGTTGCAGCCAGCAAAATTGGTTGCCAGATAATCAGTGATACACTATATTACTAAAATTATTAAATTATTCAATTTACAATTCTTTACTAATTTTATTCCAAACAAATAATGCATGCTTCACACATGCACAACATGAACAGACACAAAATATTAGTGTATTTGATGAAAAAATCATGGAGAAAATAGTGTTTGTGGAAAATAATTCGCTTATAATGTTCTTATCAACAGATCAGCATCAGTAAGAAGTTAAGTGGTTTCAGAGCGCTCAGTTCGTAAATGTTGATGTTCATACCATGGTTGTTTACAAGTTATATTCTGCTACTTATTATTCCTATATAGGACCTGCAGTTATATGCTAAATATACTCAGCATTCTCAGACAGGATCCTGCATTATATTCTGAGCATACTTGGCATTTTATTTAGGGTCTACCATTGTATCGTGATATACTCAGCATTCCCTGACAGGACCTGACATTATGTACTGAGCCCAAGGTAACTCATAATGAACATCTGTCAGTGAATAAATAGAAGAATGGTTGGGAAATCATCCTATTGTAAGCTCTGTGGCTAAGTGGTTGCACTGGGCCTGTTGCATTCACGTAGGCCACAGTTTGAGTCGCCATCCATTCTTATGTTTATAGCTTTTATAACGAGTGTACCCAGTCTGCCCATATAGGGTTAAGGCAGGAAGCTCCTAAATGGTTTATGATATCAAAAAGCAATTTATACATTACTTTTAGCATCATAACTGGAAGAAGGGGTAAAGGAGGTTTTGTGGGCTTGGGGCTTGGACTTCCAGCAAGCATGCGTGAGCGTGTTAGATAGGAGTGAATGGAGACGAGTAGTTTTTGGGACCTGATGAGCTGTTGGAGTGTGAGCAGGGTAATATTTTGTGAAGGGATTCAGGGAAACCGGTTAGCCAGGCTTGAGTCCTGGAAGTGAGAAGTACGTACAGTACCTGCACTTTAAAGGAGGGGTTTTGGGATATTAGCAGTTTGGAGGGACATTGAAACTGTTATATGTGTTTGAGTGCCTCTACAAAGACAGGGGTTTATGTATGAGTGATGGTGAAAGTGTTGAATGATGATAAAAGTTTTTTCTTTCTTTTTTGGGTCACCCTGCCTTAGTGAGAAACGGCCAAAATGATTAAAAAAAAAAAAAAACTGACAAATCACAGAATGAGTAGGACTTGCCTTGGATTCAAATCCCACTCATTCCGTGATTTGTTTGCAACCGTGTTACCACGATTTTGTGAATCATAACTGTGCATTGTTTGTATGCCATACAAAGACTTGATTACATTGCACAATACATGTAGTACTTTGTTTATTAAATGTTCAATATTTTTCCCCACGATCATTCAAGGAGGACATCTACTTCGTTTGAGTTCAGTGAGTAGTTTTATCTGTTTTATGTAGCCAAATAATCATTGTTGGTTTGTTAGGTTTAACAAAATGACCTCATGCAACTGCATGAGGTAATTTAAGGCTGCATTTCACCTGTATACCTGCAGTCAAGAATTCTTTAATAATTAAAATTGGGATTAAAGTAAACTGTCAGTGAATATACACAGAGATGCACACTTCTTAGTGTATATTCTGCATGCAGAAATATACTCCTCTCAGAATGCAGCATATATGCACATTTCCATGCATATTCACTGATACTTCAGGGCACCTCTGTAAAGACACTAATTATGTATGAGTGATGGTTAAAGAATGGTAATGAAAGTTTTTCTTTCTTTTTGCATCACCCTGTCTTGGTGGGAAACAGCTGATTTTTTAAAAACAAGCATTAGTGTATAAATACATACAGTAATATTCATTTAGTCATATATGCAATGAGAGCTACACACATGCTTCACTATATATTAACTAATATATACCTCAGTGTACATACACAGATATATATTTTGTCATATATTCACTGAGGGCTACATATACCTTGATGGCTAAGATTGTATACTCTAAGTTACTTCTGTTACCATATTTGCAGATTTTTTAAGAGAACAACTTATGCAGGGTCAACTATATTGCTTTAATAATAACTAGAAGAGTGATCAATAATTCCAATGTTTATGCATCTTGCATTTTTACATTGGACAAATTTAGGTAGTATTTATTGTGGATGGTGGCTTATTGATTTTGATCTTCTGCAGAAATCTTTGCTTTCCAAATATTGAATTTCTGAATACAGTATATATCATTTGTTTGTACTGAAGCCACAGAATTGTTTTTATATCTCTATTTTTGCTTTGTTATAAGCAGAGTTTCTGCTCAATACACATTAACCATTGATGGGACGATACCAGAATTCTCACCAATACTGTTCAGAAGATGCCAAAATTTTAAAAAAGAGCCGATACCTACCATTACCACTTAAATTAGCAAACACCGATACTAGTTTTTAGGTCAGTGCCGATACCACAAAAATTAGCAGACTCCGTTTGATACTGATACTTTGTTACGCCCCTAATATTAACACACACAAGTCAGCTGATGCATTGTAACTACGTATTTGTATTTGTAACTGTTGTAAGCTCTTTTTTTTTTTTTTTACTAAAATTCATGTTCACTTTCACATTGGGTATAAAGGCACAGAATATAGAGCTGGCTTTAATTCTAGACCACATTTGTGCTCAGGAGTGAGCTTTATAAAGTCAACACTTAGTAAAGCTTCATCATGAATAGAAGATTGTATAGCATAACAGCTGTACTGTATTATGTGTCTAAGTCAAGTTTTATTTCCAAGAATTAGAGTGTTGATCCAGCTCAGATTACATCTTTTTGTTGGCTTGTTGTCCCATATATAATCCTGTTGCCCGAGACACCATACTATTGTTCCAGACACTGCTGTTGCCTCAGACACAATCCTGTTGCCCCAGACACTATCCTGTTGTTCTAGACATCATGCTGTTGTCCTAGATGCCCTCCTGTTGTCCCAGGATGACTGTGCTAAATGATTGACTGAACTTAATGCTCTATTTAAAAAGTAAAAGAAAGAATTTACCCACAAAAGTAATAAGACTCTCGTAACTCACCAAAGGTAAAGGTATGTTACTCATTTCCAGGAACTCCGCTACGGAGTTACGTCGGAACCTATACGAAGTGGTTCCGAAGAAGAGACGTCTGGTGATGCGCACTCCATCACGCCTCTACCATTTCACAGACAGTCACCTGAGCACTGTCGTGGGATGCGCCAACACAAAATTACCCCCTATCTTAGGACCAGAGTTCGTTGTGAGAAACAAAGAACCAACGAAGGCTCTTACTTTATTACAGGATGCCCAGGTAATCCTTTTGTAAATTTTAAATGGGACATAGGAATGTGAGACATTCCTATGTCCCATATGAGGATGATGCCTTTTTTTTTTTATGAACGTTAATAATTACACTTGTGTACTGTGTTCCGAAGAAAGCATGGTCAGAATTTTTCCATTATTTAGTTAAATAAACCTTATTCAGAAGAGGTATTATTAGCCTCTAGTTTTTTGTACAGCACTAACCATAAAACATTTGTTATGATGAGAATAATAATAATATTAACCCCTTCTCCTGTATATATTACTAAATTTGAAAGGAGAAACTTTGTTTTTTTCTTTTGGGCCACCCTGCCTCGGTGGGATACGGCCAGTTTGTTGGAAAATAAAATAATCAATAATAATAATAATAGTAATAATATTTAAAGACATACATGAATGGTACAATAATTATACATATTTGACATTTGATTTAATTTTATTGGCACACCCAAATTTTTGCAGATTTTGTGGCAATTTTTGTTGATCTATGATCTGGTCAGATAATTTTCTGTATATTTACCAATACACTTGTACTATTTTCTCTTTCAGCGAGGTGTTGTGAAGAAAGTGACAGTGATCCTGGTAACAGGCAGGAGGTTAGAGGTCACCTGTGACCCCGCTACTACTAGGGTCAGCCACATTCTCCAGGTTAGTGGTAGTGCATTGAGGTCAAGGTCGTTTAATACATGGCCAATATTACGTAGCACCTATTATTAGTACACAGTTAAAATGAAATTGGTTTTGTTAATGCTGATGCTTATTTCTCCCAGTTCATTATCAAAATACAGTTGGCCCTGCAGAATCACTGGGAGTCATTTACTTAGAGACCCTGTGAAATAAAAAACCATGGCAAAGAGAAAATTACCATACGTGAGTGGAACAGAATTCTTCCACCATAAGTCATGCGTGTCATAAGAGGCGACTAAAATGCCGGGAGCAAGGTGCTAGTAACCCATTCTCCTGTATACATTACTAAATTTAAAAAGAAAACCTTCATTTTTCTTTTTGTGTCACTCTGTCTCAGTGAGATATGGCTAGTTTATTAAAAAAAAAAAAAAAATAGAAAATTTTGTCAACATGACAAACTTTGTATCAGATTTGGGTTTGCATTTCAGAGTATCACTGTAATTGTAACATACATTTGTATGTTATTTGGTGTTGGTTTAATGTTTCACTGGTGAACATAACCTATGAGAGGAAAGGTCACCAATCTGAACGAAGTTCACAGCATTCATAAAATCCTTCTGCATTTTCATATCATATTATGGATTTAGCACACATTGTCATGTTTGGACATAGTCTTAGAGAGCAGTGTCAGGTCGGGGTCATGTGTGAACGTAGACTGTCTTCTGCTTTTGGGACAGCTGCTGCTGCTGCTGTGGAGTGGTTTACAACTTATTATTTTGATGTGTTGATTATGTTTAGACATACTGTGTGCAAGTGAAGTACATTATATTTCAAATTGATTTTGACTTGTTTGGTGCATTCACCTCTATTTCTACATTATCTTGTGTGGACTCAGTCTCAAAAAGAGATTTGCATCTGCATCCTAAGTGGGCTTAGTACAGTGATGACCCAGCTGTATGTTTCATGTCTGTACACTTTATTTTGTGGACTAATATCTGGCTAGATGATATCCATACACATTTGTTCTGTGTGAACCTGGATGTGTGCTAGCGAGCTGCATTCATTCATATTTGTGTGAAAATTTGCCTACCCCCCCCCCCCCAACAAACTGGCTGTGTCCCACCAAGGCAGGATGACCTAAAAAGGAAAACAAAAATTTCTGTCTAGTATTATTAGGCATAAATAATAATTGAATGATCAAAATAATTTGAGATTACATTACATCTTTGTTTCTGGGAGCTTGGATATCTTTTAGGCTCATTCTCAGTGGGGTTAGAGGAAGTGAGTAGGAATGACCATTACCATGAGTTTTGACCACAGGAGGGCAGGTCAGAGCTTCTCAAAATTTGGACGGAGTTATTGTGTGTCAACACCTCACAAACTCTGCCAACTTTTCCCAAAAAATAATCATTTACAGAATGTGTTGGCATGAGTGAGGAATATGAGAATGGACAGAAAATAAGAAGTTCAAGATGACTACGTTATTGTTTAATTAAGATAGCTCCATTGCTTTTTAATATCTGTTCTTTGTTGCAGCCAAGTGAATTTGTCCCTATAAGTACTGCTCAGAAAAATCTGTATTCTAATACTGAATATGCAAATGTACTGTAATAATGTGTCAAAATACAGTGGACCCCCCCTTAACGATCACCTCCCAATGCTACCAATTATGTAAGTGTATTTATGTAAGTGCGTTTGTACATGTATGTTTGGGGGTCTGAAATGGACTAATCTACTTCACAATATTCCTTATGGGAACAAATTCGGTCAGTACTGGCACCTGAACATACTTCTGGAATGAAAAAATATCATTAACCGGGGGTCCACTGTATTGTTATATTTAGTGCATTATTCTTTTCTTTTTTTTCAGGCTGTGTTTCAAGAAGAAAATTTACCTCTTAAGCAAGTGTTGGGTCTTGCTGTGTTGGGCAGCGGAGAATTTCACTTTGTAGCACCTCAGACCAAACTACACAAAGTAAACATGTATTTCTTTGTTGATAAAATGGTTGATTTGTAAAAGGAAGGATTGAGGGGGGGAAGGATTATGTTGCTATCGGAGAGGTTAATCCGATTGTGGTGTCAGCATACTAATAACATAAGAAAGAAGGAGCACTGCAGCAGGCCTACTGACCCATGCTAAGCAGATCCAACTCATTCTAACCCACACCCACTTACATATTTGCCCAACCTATTTTTAAAACTAAACGATATTTTAGCTTCATTGACGCTACTTAGGAGTTTGTTCCATTCATCCACAATTCTGTCACTAAACCAGTGCTTTCCTATATCTTTCTAAATCTAAATTTTTCCAACTTCAACCCATTGTTGCAAATCCTGGCTCGGTTAGATATTTTTTAGCACATTATTTACATCCCCTTTATTTATTCCTGTTTTCCATTTATACACCTCAATCATCTCCCCACTAATTCTACATCTTTCTAGAGAGTGTAGATTTATGGCCCTCAGTCTGTCCTCATAGGAAACATTTTTTATACATGTTGAGAGACATCTATTGAGTGTTGGTGAATGCATTTCCTTCTTTGGGTCAGCCTGCCTTGGCAGGAGACAGTGGTGAGTCAAAAAAAAAAGTTAAATATAGTATTTCATTAAACATATTTTATAGCAGTGGGTAAATGTTAAATATTTTACTCCTGCAGGGGTGCTGGTCACTTCTTTCTGGCTTGTATGTAAGATGACAGTTAAAGCTTTAACGCTTCTAATTTTATTCAGCACACATTTATCATAACTTTTCAGTTTCTTAAAAAGCTTATATTTCCTGTAATGCTTTTTCTTTATTTATGAGAACTAGAAGAGGTAGTTCTGTTGTTACAGTAATTTATAAAAAAAATTTATTTTATTTGAGTGCCAAGGCAGTGACTAATATAAAAACCTATAATCATATTAGTTATCAATTTCAAAATATAGGAGTTATCGTACTAAATATGTCAGGCTACAACTGATGAAGAATATTTGCTCAGTAGTGTATGTATATATGCTGAGAGTTTGCTTTAATCTCTGTTTTAGGGATTAAAGTTTTCTTGACTAGTGGTACAATGGTTACATGCAACATTAATGATTCTCATGTACTTAACAGGCTTTAAACCTCCCATCCCCTCACAGTAACCAGCCATCAAAATCTCATTCAGGCTTACTGACAAGATATCATGAGTAACAGTGACTGTCAGTTTGTGTTTAACAGTGAGTCAGACATTAACTCATGTACCCACATATTCATACAAAACATTCAAAGCTTCTACAATAACCAGTGTCATTTAAAGTCCAAACAAGTTACAACAAGCAGAGTAGATAGTCCATAGCTGACCAAGAACATCCTCAGAGCCATTGGCAAAAAACAACTGAGTAAAAATAGAGGCAGAGCTCAATATCCAAGGTCACTGTATTAAGAATCATGTCCCATGTATTCATTGTAAGGCTAAGTTGTATTAAGCCCTGTGTGTTAAATACAATAGAGGTATAACACCGTATAAATTACTGTACCTTATAGTATGTTGGTTACTATGATGCAGCACTTCCTTGATATTGCAGGTTTCACCTCCAGGCTGGAAGGAGCGCCATCCCACAAAGGATGGACTTATTCAAGATAATTTTACTCTCCACCTAAGATTTATTTACTATCTTAAGTAAGTGTGATATATTTCTTCAATTTCTTTACCTCAACTCGGCATTTTCTTCTACCTAAACAGACCTATAATAATAAGAGTAATAATAATGCTCTGATGTAATATGGTAATAATATTAGTAATACAGTGGAACCTCAAAAATCGAACGTATCACATATTGAACGTTTCGAAAATAAGACCATTTTTTGGGACAAACTGTGCCCTTATTATCGAACGCGCCCCTAATTTCGGACCGCCAGGTACGGGACCTGTCTGCCGGCCCGCTCTGTCTGCATCCCCGCGCAGGCGCCGTGAGCAGTCTAGCTTTGTTTGCTTGAGTGAACACTAACCTGCGCTCTCATTCACACATTTTACGATTATTTCGTTGTGTTTAGTGTTTGTGGGACTGTGAAATAAGCTACCATGGGTCCAAAGAAACTTGCTAGTGGTACCCCTGTGGTAAAGAAAGTGAGAAACACCATAGATGTGAAGAAGGAAATAATACAGAAGTATGAGAGTGGTGTGAGACTTGTTGAACTTGCCAGGATGTATGGGAAAAACAAGTTGACCATCGGTTCTATCCTGGCAAAGAAAGAACAAATCAAGGAAGCTGATGTTGCGAAAGGTGTTAATATGCTAACCAAAAAAAGACTACAAATTGTTGAAGAGGTTGAGAAGTTGTTGCTGATGTGGATCAAGGATAAAGAGATTGCAGGTGATAGTGTTTCAGAGACGATTATTTGCGAAAAGGCAAGGAAGTTGCATGCCGATCTGGTACAGAAAACTCCTGGAACCAGTGCTGATAGTGAATTTAAGGCCAGAAGAGGCTGGTTTGACAGATTTAAGAAGCGTAGTGGCATACACAATGTTGTAAGACATGGTGAGGCAGCCAGTTCAGACAAACGGGCGGCTGAGAAATTTGTACAGGAGTTCAAGGGGTACATAGACAGTGAAGAATTCAAACCTGAACAAGTGTTTAATTGTGACAAAACAGGCTTGTTTTGGAAGAAAATGCCAAAAAGGACCTTCATCATACAGGAGGAAAAGGCACTGCCAGGACACAAGCCTATGAAAGACAGGCTTACTCTTTTATTCTGTGCTAATGCTAGTGGTGATTTTAAAGTGAAGCCTTTACTTGTGTATCATTCAGAAAATCCCAGAGTGTTTAAGGAAAACAATGTCTTTAAGAACAAGTTATGTGTCTTGTGGAAAGCTAATCATAAGGCATGGGTCACAAGACAAATTTTCAAAGAGTGGGTCCATGAAGTGTTTGGCCCCAGTGTGATAAAATTCCTCCAGGAAAAGAAATTGCCACTCAAGTGCCTCCTGTTAATGGACAATGCTCCTGCTCATTCTCCAAACTTATTAGACCTCTTGTCTAAGGACTTCAGTTTTTTAAAAGTGAAGTTCTTGCCTCCTAACACCACTCCTTTCCTCCAGCTTTGAAGTGACCACAGACACTAAGTTGACCCTAAGAGAGTTCTGGAGGAATCACTTCAGCATCTACAACTCCATAAGCCTTATAGGTAAGGCTTGGGAGGGAGTGACTTCCAGGACTTTGAACTCTGCTTGGAGACAATTGTGGCCAGATTGTGTCCAAAAGAGGGATTTTGAAGGGTTTGAGGCTGACCCTGACCCAGCTCACCCTCTGCCTGTTGTGGACTCTATTGTGGCATTGGGGAACACCCTGGGGTTGGAGGTGAGTGGTGAGGATGTGGAAGAGTTGGTGGAGGACCACAGGGAAGAGCTAACCACTGAAGAGCTGCAAGAGCTTCATCTGGAGCAGTATCAGACCACAGCTGAGGAACTTGCTTCAGAGGAGGAGGAAGAGGGAGTGGATGAGGAGCCTTCTTCAAAGATTAAGGAGATTTGTGCCAAGTGGAACGATGTCCAAATGTTTGTGCAGAAGTACCACCCTGAGCAAGCTGAAACAAGCCATCTTTGCAACAAGTTCAGTGACAGAACCATGTCCCATTTTAGGGAAATGTTAAAGAGGTGCCAGAAACAGAGGACTGTGGACAGTTATTTTGTGAGACAGGGGTCCAGTGACTCTCAAGCTGGTCCTAGTGGCATTAAAAGACAGAGAAGGGAAGTAACCCCAGAGAGGGCTTTACCTGAAGTCCAAACACTAACCTCAACTCCCTCTCTCCTCCTCCCTATCTTCCAGATGCCATCACCAATCTTCAATAAAGGTAAGTAAAAATGTTATTTTATATGTATTACTATACATAATTAAAAATTATAGTATTTGTTGTATGTAAAACTGTAATTAATCTCTATAAAATGTATTTTTTGTGTGAATATTTTTGGGTTTCTGGAACAGATTAATTGTATTTCCATTATTTCTTATGGGAAATATTGCTTCGAATTTCAGACTTTTCGAATTTAGAACTAGCTCCTGGAACGGATTAAGTTCGATTTTTGAGGTTCCACTGTAATTATAATAAGAATAAAAATGCTACATAGGGAAGTGGAAAAGAATCTTTCCTCCATAAGCTATGCATGTCATAAAAGGCAATTAAAATGCCAGAAGCATTGGGCTAGTAGTGCCATTTCCTGTATAAATTACTAAAGGTAGCAAGAAGAAAAACTTCAAGGTTCTTTTTCGGGTCACCCTGGGAGATGGCCAGTGTGTTAAAAAAAATAATAAGAGCAGAGCAGAGTATATGGAGAGTAAAAGAAAGGTGAAGAGAGTGGTGAGAGAGTGCAAAAGGAGAGCAGATGATAGAGTGGGAGAGGCACTGTCAAGAAATTTTAATGAAAATAAGAAAAAATTTTGGAGTGAGATAAACAAATTAAGAAAACCTAGGGAACGAATGGATTTGTCTTTAAAACAGAGTAGGGGAGTTAGTAGATGGGGAGATGGGGGTATTGGGTAGATTGCGGGAATATTTTGAGGAACTTTTAAATGTCGATGATGAAACTGAGGTGGTAATTTCATGCACTGGCCAGGGAGGTATAACATCTTTTAGGAGTGAAGAAGAGTGGGATGTGAGTGTGGAGAAGGTGTGTGAGGCATTATGTAGAATGAAAAGGGGTGAAGCAGCTGGAACTGATGGGATCATGACAGAAATGTATGTTAAAAGCAGGGGGGAATATAGTGTTGGAGTGGTTGGTATTTTTGTTTAATTAATGTATGAAAGAGGGGAAGGTACCTAGGGATTGGCAGAGAGCATGTATAGTTCCTTTATATAAAGGGAAGGGGGACAAAAGAAATTGTAAAAATTATAAGGAATAAGTTCACCGAGTATACCAGGAAAAGTGTATGGTAGGGTTATTATTGAGAGAATTAGTGGTAAGACAGAGAGTAGGATTGCAGATGAGCAAGGAGGTTTTAGAGTGGGTAGGGGATGTGTAGATCAAGTGTTTACATTGAAGCATATATGTGAACCATATTTAGATAAAGGTAGGGAAATTTTCATTGCATTTATGGATTTAGAAAAGGCATATGATAGAGTGGATAGGAGAGCGATGTGGGAGATGTTGCAAGTGCATGGAATAGGTAGTAAGTTACTAAATGCTGTAAAGAGTTTTTATGAGGATAATGAGGCTCAGGTTAAGGTGTGTAGGAGAGAGGGAGATTACTTCCCAGTAAAAGTAGGTCTTAGACAGGGATGTGTAATATATTTATAGATGGGGTTGTGAAGGAGGTAAATGCTAGGGTGTTGGGGAGAGGGGTGGGAATCAGGTACAAAAAGGGAGTTGACACAGTTACTTTTTGCTGATGATACTGTGCTTATGGGAGATTTTAAAGAAAAGTTGCAAAGGTTAGTGGACGAGTTTGGGAGGGTGTGTAAAGGTAGAAAATTGAAAGTAAACATAGATAAGAGTAAAGTGATGAAGGTATCAAACAATTTAGATAAAGAAAAATTGGATATCACTTTGATAAATTAGACACATGTGCAACTCTTGGGTATCTTTTTTGAGGAAACGTTTCGCATGTGTTCACATGTGTCTAATTGATCAATGTGTCAGTTCTCTGAACCATTCATCTACAATCCTGTCAGACACTGCAACTTCTTGGGATCTTAATACTTTGGAATTCTTTGCTTGCCTAACCCTTGGGCATGACCTACTTCCACATTGAACAAATGTGACACCATCTACAACTGCTGCACCTCTCCTGCCTACGGTTTATAAGCTCCTTCTCCGCTCGTATGCCGTATTCTATTCAAGATTGATGGACTGACCACATCGACTCAAGGTTGAGGGACTGATTACCTCATTCTCTTCCTGTTCTTCAAGATTCTCCTTTGTATGGACTGATGAAGCCACTGTGTGGCGAAACGTTTCCTCAAAAAAGATACCCAAGAGTTGCACATGTGTCTAATTTATCAGAGTGTCGGTTCTCTGAACCATTCATCTTCAGTCCGGATATCACATTGGAGAGAGGGAGTATGGAAGAAGTGAATGTTTTCAGATATTTGGGAGTTGACGTGTTTTTGAAGGATGAGGTTAACCATAGAATTGATGAAGGAAAAAAGATGAGTGGTGTGTTGAGGTATATCTTTCGACACACCGGCCGTATCCCACCAAGGCGGGGTTATCTGGAAGTTATTCCAGGGATCAACGCCCCCGTGTCCCAGTCCATGACCAGGCTTCCCGGTGGATCAGGGCCTGATGAACCAGGCTGTTACTGCTGGCCGCCCGCAATCCAATGTACGAGCCACAGCCCGGCTGATCCGGCACTGACTTTAGATATCTGTCCAGCTCTCTCTTGAAGGCAGCCAGGGGTTTATTGGTAATTCCCCTAATGCTTGATGGGAGGCTGTTGGACAGTCTTGGGCCCCGGTGGCCCAAAAGGAAAAACGAAAGTTTCTCCTTTTACATTTAGTAATATATACAGAAGAAGGGGTTACTAGCCCCTTGCTTCTGGCATTTTAGTCGCCTCTTATGACACGCATAGCTTATGAAGGATGAATTCTGTTCCACTTCCCTATGGAGGATTGAGGTATATGTGGAGACAAAAAATATTATCTATGGAGGCAAAGAAAGGGAATGTATGAAAGTATAGTGGTACCAACACTCTTATATGGGTGTGAAGCTTGGGCTGTAAATGCTGCAGCGAGGAGGTGGTTGGAGGCAGTGGAGATGTCCTGTCTAATGGCAATGTGTGGTGTAAATATTATGCAGAGAATTCGAAGTGTGGAAATTAGGAGAAGGTGTGGAGTTAATAAAAGTATTAGTCAGAGGGCTGAAGAGGGGTTGTTGAGGTGGTTTGGTCATTTAGAGAGAATGAAGTAGAATGACATGGGAAGCGTATAAATCTGTAGGGGAAGGAAAGCGGGGTAGGGGTCATCCTCAAAAAGGTTGGAAGGAGGGGGTAAAGGAGGTTTTGTGGACAAGGGGCTTGGACTTCCAGCAAGTGTGTGTGAGCGTGTTAGACAGGAATGAAGGGAGACGAATGGCTTTTGGGACCTGACAAGCTGTTGGAGTGTGAGCAGGGTAATATTTAGTGAAGGGATTCAGGGAAACCAGTCATTTTTATGTAGCCAGACTTGAGTACTAGAAATGGGAAGTACAATGCTTGCACTTTAAAGGAGGGGTTTGGGATATTGACAGTTTGGAGGGATGTTATATATCTTCATATATGCTTCTAAACTGTTGTATCTGGGCGCCTCTGCAAAGACAGTGATTATGTATGAGTGAGGTGAAAGTGTTGAATAATAATGAAAGTATTTTCTTTTTTGGGGATTTACTTTCTTTTTGGGTCACCCTGCCTCAGTGGGAGACAGCCGACTTGTTGGAAAAAAAAAAAGATTTTAATAAAGAACTTTTACTTCAGATTTAATAATGCAGAAGAAATGGAATGCTCGTCGAGGCAGCTTCTGTATCTGCAACTCCGACACGATCTGTTGGAAGGTCGCTTTCCACTCCCCTCCGATGATCTCCTTCATGTGGCAGCTCTTGCTCTACAAGCAGAGTTTGGCCACAAAAAAGAAAAGGTGAGATGTGCACCATTGTAAAAATGTAGATACTAAAAAGACAAATAATAGGATAGTATTAAACATTAATTGGCATTTAGAAATTGTCTCTGTAACATAAGCAATGGAAGAAGTAAAATTAGTTACGAGGTACTTATGGCAAATAATCCATTCAAGCAACTGCTACTTTTTTAGTACTGGAGATGGGAAGGGCAATGCCTGCACCTGAAGGAGAGGTGGTGGGAAGAACAGTGCCTGTACCTGAAGGAGAGGTGATGGGAAGAACAGTGTCTGCAATATGAAGGAGAGGTGGGGGTGGGAAGGGCAGTGCCTGCATTCTGAAGGAGGGGTGGAGATGGGAAGGGCAGTATCTGCTTTCTGAAGGAGGGGTGGAGATGGGAAGGTCAGTATCTGCTTTCTGAAGGAGGGATGGATGTGGGAAGGGCAGTACCTACACTCTAAAGGAGGGGTGAAGATATTGCTGTCTAAAGGTAATCAGGTCATGATGTCATTACATTCCTACAAAAATGACAACTGAGTGAATGTTAATGAATATCTTTTTTCTTTGGGTCACCATACATTGGTGGGAGAAGGCCATTGTGCTAAAAAAAAAAATCATACAGGTTAATGGTTAATTTGTTTTTCATTTTTTTGTTAAGGACATGGGCTACTTTCTTGCTGAGCATTATGTCCCTGAGTCACTGCTGCGTGGAGGACGCACAGTGGAAGTGTCACAGAAACTGCAGCAGTATCATGCAGCCCTGGCAGATCTGTATTATAGTGAGGCTCAAGCACGCTTCATCACCACACTACAGGACACTCCATACTATGGCACACACCTCTACCATGTTACACAGGTAACTGAGACACTTACTTGAAAATATTGCACTTATTGTTTGCTAGTTTATATTTCTGTTTAACACTGATATCTCTTTTTCCTGGGGTCTTACATGCAGTCTTACCCAGGCATCTTGAGTCTTCAAGGGACTGAAGGTACGCAGGAGCACTTGAAATATTTGCTGTGGTCTTCTCCCGTTGTAATTATACTCTCCCCTTCCTTGGATCAAATATAATTACCTCCCATTTTCCAAGTGCTCTGTGACTTTTATGGCTTTAGTGCTTCCCCATGATTATAATACCAATAGCAATCAATATATATTTTTTGTCAGGCTAGGTTGAGTAAGTGCTTGTTCTTACATGTCAATTGTAATGCATTGTGCTCTCAGGACAAGGGACGGCAGCAGTGTTGGCTGGGCATCAGGCGTGAGGGTGTCCTGGTTAGCAGCAGTGGAGCTCTTACTTGTGAGACCATCACTGGGGCTACACTCCATCCTTGGCAGTCAGTCAAAAGGATGTCGTACACCACTCACCGGCTAACCTTCGCTGTACGTGCACTGGACAAATCAGTCAAACTCAAATTCAATTTACAAGAAAACAGGTGAGATTGTATTTGATAATTATTACAGTAGAATTTTTATTTTCCTTTTGTCTCTTATTTGGGTTTCAGGTTCATCCAGCAGCTTTTTTTAGTCCTGAACTCTCTTCTTATTTAGGTTTCAGCTTTATCCAACAGCCTTTTTCAGTCCTGTACAAAACAAAGGAATCACAAAATGTTATCCAGGTTTATTAAAAATCTAGTGTAGTCTTTTTCCAAGAAGTGACCGGATAATCAGTGGTGTACTGTATTGCTTGCACCGTGGTGGGCATAGTGTCATGTGTTAAGACTGTACAGCATTCTTAAAAGATGAAAACTCTTGAAGAAGGAGACACTTGTGCAACATAGGAAGAATATCTTGCAACTTAATAATATCTGGCAACTTAAGAATATCTGGCAATCTAGGAAGAATATCTGGCAACTTTGGAAGAATATCTGGCAACTTAGGAAGAATGTTGCAACTTAGGAAGAAAATCTTTCACAATGTTGATATTATAACTTACACCCTCTCTTAATCCTTTTGTCTCCATCCCTCCTTCCCGCTTTTCTACCCTTCCTTCCTCCCTCCCTCTCTCTCATTCCCTCCCTCCCTCCCTCCCCCTCTCAATCTCTCCCTCCCTCTCTCCCTCTCAATCCCTCCCTCCCTCTCCCTCTCCCTCTCAATCCCTCCCTCCCTCCCTCTCTCCTCCCTCTTTTTCCTTCCCTCTCTCCCTCCCCTTCTCAATCCATCCCTCCCTCCCTCCCTCCCCCACACAATACAAAGTATATAATTAGCTTTCCTCCTCCTCCTTCATAAGGCTTGATCCTCTCTCCCTCCATTATTTAATTTACCTCTCCCCCTCCCCCCCTCTCTCTCTCTCTCTTATATATACGTATATATATTTTTTTTCAACAAACCGGCCGTATCCCACCAAGGCAGGGTGGCCCAAAAAGAAAAATTAAAGTTTCTCTTTTTAAATTTAGTAATTTATACAGGAGAAGGGGTTACTAGCCCCTTGCCCCCAGCATTTTAGTTGCCTCTTACAACACGCATGGCTTACGAAGGAAGAATTCTGTTCCACTTCCCCATGGAGGTAAGAGGAAATAAACAAGAAGAAGAACTAGTAAGAAAATAGAAGAAAACCCAGAGGGGTGTGTATATATATGCTTGTAGATATATGTGTAGTGTGACCTAAGTGTAAGTAGAAGTAGCAAGACATACCTGAAAGTTGCATGTTTATGAGACAGAAAAAAGAACACCAGCAATCCTACGATCATGTAAAACAATTACAGGCTTTCGTTTTACACTCACTTGGCAGGACAGTAGTACCTCCCTGGTGAGTGCAAAACGGAAACCTGTAATTGTTTTACGTGATGGTAGGATTAGTGGTGTCTTTTTTCTGTCTCATAAACATGCAAGGTTTCAGGTACGCCTTGCTACTTCTACTTACACTTACGTCACACTGCACATATATGTACAAGCATATATATATACACCCCTCTCGGTTTTCTTCTATTTTCTTAATAGTTCTTTTTTTTTTTCTTTTTTTCAACAAGTCGGCCATCTCCCACCGAGGCAGGGTGACCCAAAAAGAAAGAAAATCCCCAAAAAGAAAATACTTTCATCATCATTCAACACTTTCACCTCACTCACACATAATCACTGTTTTTGCAGAGGTGCTCAGAACACAACAGTTTAGAAGCATATATGTATAAAGATACACAACATATCCCTCCAAACTGCTAATATCCCGAACCCCTCCTTTAGAGTGCAGGCATTGTACGTACTTCCCATTTCCAGGACTCAAGTCCGGCTATATAAAAATAACTGGTTTCCCTGAATCCCTTCACTAAATATTACCCTGCTCACACTCCAACAGATCGTCAGGTCCCAAATACCATTCGTCTCCATTCACTCCTATTGAACACGCTCATGCACGCCTGCTGGAAGTCCAAACCCCTCGCTTGTTTATTTCCTTTTATCTCCATGGAGAAGTGGAACAGAATTCTTCCTCCATAAGCTATGCGTGTTGTAAGAAGCGACTAAAATGCAAGGGGTTACTAACCCCTTCTCCTGTATAAATTACTAAATTTAAAAAGAGAAACTTTCGTTTTTCTTTTTGGGCCACCCTGCCTTGGTGGGATACGGCCCGTTTGTTTAAAGAAAGAAACATGTAAGATTTCAGGTACGTCTTGCTACTTCTACTTACACTTAGGTCACACTACACATACATGTACATGCATATATGTGCACACCCCTCTGGGTTTTCTTCTATTTTCTTTCTAGTTCTAGTTCTTGTTTATTTCCTCTTACCTTCATGAGGAAGTGGAACAGAATTCTTCCTCCGTAAGCCATGCGTGTTGTAAGAGGCGACTAAAATGCCGGGAGCAAGGGTCTATTAACCCCTTCTCCTGTACAAATTACTAAATTTAAAAACAGAAACTTTTGTTTTTCTTTTTGGGCCACCATGCCTTGGTGGGATATGGCCGATTTGTTGAAAAAAAATATATATACATGTATATATATTTACAGTAGTAGTAGTTGTAGGTTGGTAGACAGCAAACCACCCCGGGAGGGACTTTCCGTCCTGGGCCCAAATGAGTGTAAAACGAAAGCCTGTATTGTTTTACATGATGGTAGGATTGCTGATGTCTTTTGTCTGTCTCATAAATATGCAAGATTACAGGTACGTCTTGCTACTTCTTCTTACATTTAGGTCACACTACACATACATATACAATTTATTCATACACACTCATCTGATTTTTTCTTTGATTTTATCTTAATAGTTTTTGGTCTTATTAATTTTCCTTTTATATCCATGGGGAAGGGGAAAATAAGAATCTTTCCTCCGTAAGCCATGCGTGTTGTAAAAGCCCAACTAAATCCCGGGGGAACAATGGGCTAGTAACCCCTTTCCTGTAAAGATTACAAAAAAGAATAAGAAGAAGAAAATTGCAAAGTGGGAAGTCTGAATGGTGCGTGGATGTTGGCAGATGATAAGAAAGAGATGTTTGGGGATGTTATGAATGAGAAGAAGTGATGTCCTGGCTTTAAGTAAAACCCAAAGCTGAAGGGGGTGGGGGGGATTTTTCAGTGGAGAGGAATAAATGGATTAGGTCGGGGGTTTTCCCAAATAGAGTTAGAGCAAAAGAAGGAGTAGCAATAATGTTGAAGGATAAGCTATGGCAGGAAAAGAGGACTATAAATGTATTATTCAAGGATTATGGGGAAAGTAAAATAAAGATTGGATGTGAAAAGTGGGTTATAATAAGCGGTGTATGCACCTGGAGAAGAGAGAAGTGTAGAGGAGAGAGAGAGATTTTGGGAAATGTTGAGTGAATGCGTGGGGAGTTTTGAATCAAGTGTGAGAGTAATGGTGGTTGGGGATTTTAATGCTAAAGTGGGTAAAAATGTTATGGAGGGAAATAGTAGGTAAATTTGGGGTGCCAGGGGGAAATGTAAATGGGGAGCCTTAATTGAGCTAGTGTAGAAAAGAAATTTGGTAAAAAGTAATACATATTTTTAGAAAAAGAGGATAAATAAATATACAAGGTATGATGTAGCACGTAATGAAAGTAGTTTATTAGATTATGTATTGGTGGATAAAAGGTTGATGGGTAGGCTCCAGGTTTGTACAGTTTATAGAGGGGCAACTGATATTCGGATCATTATTTAGTTGTAGCTACAGTTAGAGTAAGAGGTAGAGGGGAAAAGGGGAAGGGCAACAACAAGTAAGAGGGGGGTGAAAGTGTATAAACAAAGGGGAGGGGGAAGTTCGGGCGAGATATAAGCGACTATTGGCAGAAAGGGGGGATAGTGCAAAGTGAGTAATGGGGGGGTTGAAGAGGGTTGGAATTTGTTTTAAAAATGCAGTATTAGAAGTGGGGCAGAAGTTTTGTGGTTATAGGAGGGGGGTGCAGGAGGAAAGAAGAGTGTTTGGGTGGAATGATGAAGTAAAGGGTGTGATAAAGAGAAAAAGGTAGCTTATGAGAGGTTTTACAAGCAGAAGTGTTAAAGAAGAGCAGAATATATGGAGAGTAAAAGAAAGGTAAAGAGAGTGGTGAGAAAAGTGCAAAAGGAGAGCAGATGATAGAGTGGGAGAGGCACTGTCAAGAAATTTTAATGAAAATAAGAAAAATTTTGGGAGTGAGTTAAACAAGTTAAGAAACCCAAAGGGAAAATATGGATTTGTCAGTTAAAACAGAGTAGGGGTTAGTAGATGGGGAGATGGAGGTATTAGGTAGATGGCGAGAATTTTTTGAGGAACTTTTAAATGTTAAGGAAGAAACAGAGGCAGAAATTTTTCATGCACGGGGCAGGGGGGTATACCATCTTTTTAGGAGTGAAGAAGAGCAGAATGTAAGTGTGGGGAGGTACGTGAGGCATTACGAAAAATAAAAGGGGTAAAGCAGCTGGTACTGAGGGATCATGAAGAAATGTTAAAAGCAGGGGGGATATAGTGTTGGAGTGGTTGGTACTTTTGTTTCAATAAATGTATGAAAGAGGGGAAGGTACCTAGGGATTGGCGGAGAGCATGTATAGTCCCTTTTATAAAAGGGAAAGGGGACAAAAGAGACTGTAAAAATTATAGAGGAATAAGCTTACTGAGTATAACCAGGAAAAGTGTACGGTAGGGTTATAATTGAAAGAATTAGAGGTAAGACAGAATGAAAGATGCGGATGAAGCAAGGAGGTTTCAGAGTGGGTAGGGTGTGTAGATCAAGTGTTTACATTGAGCATATATGTGAACAGTATTAGATAAAGGTAGGGAAGTTTTTATTGCATTATGGATTTTAGAAAAGGCATATGATAGAGTGGATAGAGGAGCAATGTGGCAGATGTTGCAAGTATATGGAATAGGTGGTAAGTTATTAAATGCTGTAAAGAGTTTTTATGAAGATAGTGAGGCTCAGGTTAGGTGTGTAGAAGAGAGGGAGACTATTTCCCGGTAAAAGTAGGTCTTAGACAGGGATGTGTAATGTCACCATGGTTGTTTAAATATATTTATAGATGGGGTTGT